GGCCAGCTCCCTGACACTCCTGCCCCTCCACCCACCTAGGGGCCAGCTCCCTGACCCTCCTGCCCCTCCACCCACCCAGGGGCCAGCTCCCTGACCCTCCTGCCCCTCCACCCACCCAGGGGGCAGCTCCCTGACCCTCCTGCCCCTCCACCCACCCAGGGGGCAGCTCCTCTTGTTGCACATCTGGTGCTCCTTCACGTCCCCCACGCAGTCCTTCCCTCCGTATTGGGGCTCAGGGCTGTTGCAGACCCGCGAGCGCTCGCGGATCCCTCCTGCACAAGTGACCGTGCAGGCCGACCATGGGGACCAGGGGCTCCAGCGGCCGTCGACTGTAGAGAGAGCCAGGAGAGGGGCTTAGTGAGAGGAGGGTCAGACAGTGTCGTCCCGGCTGACATGCGCGGGGCCGAGAGAGGCAGCAGCAATGCCCACGTGGCCGAGGACTGTAGTAGGGGAAGAGGATCAAGGGGGTGCTTGGTCCTTGGTGGCCACAACTCAGGAAGCAGTGTGGACGGCAGAGGGTCTGGCGGTTGTTTTACTTCTCAGGGCCTCTCAACACCTCGACAGGCCGAAGCCTGGGCTCTCTACGAGGAGGGCCTCTGGGGTGGAGACGGCCTGGTCTCTGAGCAGTGGACATGGACTTTGTGCAGCATACCCTGCTCCCAGAAGTCCCTGTGCCCTGAGCCATCGTGTTTCCTGAGCTGTGTCTCGCACAGACTTGTGCAAGGTCCTCCCCTGGCGCTCTGTCTGCACACCTGCTGCCTCCTAGGCCAGGCTCTCAGCTTTGGCTCACGTCCTGCTAAGTGCAGATTTAAGGTGACTCAACTGTGTCTGCAGGACACAGGTGCAGCCTGGCTGAGTCAGAGGGGGACAAGCTGGGTCCTCAGGAGCTGGCTGGCTTTGGCCTCCGTGACCAGCTGGTGGGATGGCCCCAGCCAGTGGGAGCCCAGTTTTAGCTCAATCCTCACTCTGAGCTGCCTGTGCCACCCGAGCCCCAGGACCCTGTGTCACCACTCACTTGGGCAGGGGTCACGCTGGCAGGCTTTGGTCTCCCGGCCACTGCCTTTGCAGTTCTTGCCGCCCATCTGGGGGACTGGGGAGTTGCACAGGCGGATGCGTGTGATGTTGCCAACCCCACAGGTGACAGAGCATGAAGACCAGGGTGACCAGTGGCTCCAGCCGCCGTTCTGTCGAACTAGCACACGGAAGCACAAAGAGACCAGTGTCTGGCTGTGTCCAGGGGCTGGGCCACCCCAGGGTTGCCTTCTGCTGCACATGCCCACGGACAGAGAGGGGAGGGTGGACAGCCGTCACCTTTGCCCCAGCTGTCACCTTTGCCAGAGACATCCCCGGGTGCGGGCCAGGGTGAGCCCCGTCCCTGGCTGGCCCCAGACGGGGCAGGCCAGGGTGCTGATACTCACTGCGGGTGTCACACTTGCCCAGGCTGCAAGCCCGCGTCTGGATGGAAGGGCCTAGGCAAGTGTTGCTGGTGACATCGCACGACCGGCCTCTTTGCTGGGTCCCAGAGCCACACGTGACAGAACACTCGGTCCACTCTGCCCATGGGGACCAGCCCTCCTCACTGTCCATTGCTGGCCAAGAAAGATTGACACAGAGTCAGGCCCTGCCTCCGGGAAAGGCCAGGGTCAGAACTGGCAGCTCAGCACGGCCTGGTTCCTGCTCAGGAGACTTGGGCACCTCCCAGGCACAGGCTTCCTGACCAGTGGCCCCCGTGGTGGTGGCAGGCCCCAGAGAAGACCAGGCAGCCATCACCCGGGAAGATCCCAGTGGCCTTCCCGGGGAAGAAGGACGAGGACGTGGGGTCTGCTGCTGTCCGCGGGAGGAGAGCGTGCGCTGGCCGTGCAGGGAAGGCGGCTTGGGGCTGAGAGCAGCTCGCAGGGGCTCTGCCAGCCGCGGCCTCGCCAGAGCCTGAGGACGGCCCCCCTGCTCTCCACCTGGCTGATGGAGCCAAGGTGACAGCCTCACCGCTGGTTGGAATCACAGCCCACAGCGCCCACCAGACTGGAGACGTCGAGGAAAAGACAACTTCCGGCAGAGGAGGGAGGGCAACTTCACAGGGAGCTCTCCGGCAGCGCTGTGGCCGGGCACCGCGGAAGCGGGGGGCAGGATGGCCCAGGAGGCCAGCCTTCCTCCTGTCCACTTGCTCCCTGTGCCCTAAACGCCTCCCTCCAACGGCCTGAGGTGGCTGTCCCCGGGTCTGCCCTGGTGCCCAGCAGTCCATCCGCCACCTGCAGGCCCGTGGTCTTTCGAGCCAAGCTGACCTGCTGTGCCAGGGACGGTCTCTGCTCCCGACACTGAGTCTGAGACTGGAATTCAGAGCAGCAGAGCCTGGCTCCTCCCAGCCCAGTTCTCTGCTCAGATCCTGAGGTCAGGGGTACCAGGACGGCCCCAGGACCACCAGAGGGGAAGGTCCTCCCAGCCGTGCTCAGCCAGGCCCAGCAGAGCCCTCTCAGTCTGAGTGTCCCTGGAAGCAGGACAAGGGGCGGAGAAGGACAGTCTGAAGGGAGAAGGCACTGTGCTCCCCCAGGCCACAGGGCGGCACACCCAGGCCCCCGGCCTCGGCCTCAGAGCCAGCCTGAGGGGGTGCAGTGCCGGGTGACCAGGACTCCTGGGAGCAAGTGTGCTGGGCAGCAGGCTCCACCCAAGGGACAGGAGGAGGGTGAGACCTGGCACCCAGGGGAGGACAGCACACCCCAGGCTAGACCCCAGCAATGGAGGACAGCGTCCTCAGAGGGAGGCGTCATGTCCAGCCCAGAGGGAAGAGCGGGCTCTGCACCTGTGCAAGATGAAAGCCACGAGCTCCGGCCGAGCTGAGCCTTGGGCAGGGGCAGTGTCGCCAGGCACCCAGGTGGCCTGGCTGGGAGCCACTGCAGGGTGAGCTCTGGGGTCAGGACTGGGGAGTGGGCTGCAGGGTAGCCAGCGTGGAACAAGCAGATACAGGGGACACCCTAGTGCCATCCCAGTCCTCTGCACAGTGGGCTAGACCCAGAGAGGCCAGCATCTCCGTCCCCATCACTGGGAACTTTCTATGGCTTAGAGAGTCACTGGCGACAGCCTCGGGGTTCTGTGTGTCTGTCTCCCTGCTGTTCCAGAGGTGTCTCTGAGGTGACCAACCATGATCCTTCACGATCTCCACCTGGTGTGGGCACTGGCCAGAGCCTGGTGTTTACACAAGGCCTCGCTCTGGCCAGAGCCGGGTCTGTGGACATGGCAGGATCCCTGGGGCTCAGCCTCCTGCGCTGAGGAGTGACAGGGAGGGACTGAACCCTGACCCCTGCGTTCTGAGGGCCCTAGAGTTGCTTCCTGGTCACGGGCTAGGAAAACGCAGAGACCCAGATGTCCCTCAGCGTCCCATCCTCACCAGGCTGAGTCTCACCCTCCTCTGTCCCCGCCGACCCAGGAGCAAGCACAGCAGCCAGGACCCTGCCCTGCGGGTGCTCGTGGACAGTACTCACAGTGGGAGCAGGAAGGACAGCACTCGTCCTCGGCAAAAGCTGGGCTGGCGCAGGTGGCAGGCGGGCAGGAGATCTGGTGGCAGACGACCTTGAACTTCTGTGGGTAAAGGAGGCACCGCAGGCCACTCATCAAGGCAGCAGCCTTGGTTCAGGGCTGGGTGGAAAGGGCCAGCAGGGCAGTGGACGTCTTGTGTCCAGGGTCCTACATGATAACCCGAGACGCGGCCTGGCCTGAGGTGGCTCGTGGGCCCAGCGGGTCCTGTCTCCTGCCACTCAGCAAAGAGACTGCAGCAAAGACTGGCCACAGGTATGCTAGGGGAGGAGGACGGGTGGGCAGGGTGGCCTTGTGCTGGGGGAAGTCTGGGTCCCCATGCACAGAAACTGGTCATTACTGAGAAGAGCCAGGTCCTCTAGTGTTCCTGACGCTGACCTGCATCCCAGAAGCTTCTGCTAAGCACCAAGGCCCCACTGGACCTGCACAGCATTAGACACGGATCAGGGGCCTCTAGGTAGCTCCGTTCCAGGTGTTCCTGACCTCTGGCGACACTGGCCAGTCACACACTCTCTGGCTTCTTCATGTGTGAAGCCTTGAGGTTGGGCCTGGTCACACTTCGGTGCCTCCCACTGTCCCCTCCAGCCCTACCCCCGCCTGCCTGTGTCTGTGGCTCTGCCGGGCTCAGAGACGGCCTGCGGGGCCCCAGGAGCTCACCTTGCAGGTGCAGGACGTGCAGCTGTCCACCACCCAGGTTTCGTTTTCTGCAAAGAACCGGCCATCCTGCCAGCAGGCCGTTATGTTCCTCGTCTTAGGAGGGCCACCAAGGAGCTCGAGCAGGAACTGGTTGTCATTTGACTGCAAAGGGGTCCAGCGTCAGGAGTGGACCAGAACCCAGCACCGTCTCAAGCCGTCTGGGTGGGAACCTCCCCTTTTCTGAGCAGCTCTGGGCGCAGGCAGCAGGGACCCACAGCGGGGAGCCCGAGGGTGCAGACGGGAAGCCACGGAGCCCGAGCCACAGACTCCTCAGCACCCTGGGCTTCCCGCTCCTTCTCTCAGTGAGACCCAGCTCAGGAGCCTCAACACCTGGGTGGGCCACGCTGCTGGTGCTGGGCAGCGGGCAGATGTCCGGGGCACGGCAAGAGGAGCCGCAGCTGGCTGCAGCCCAGAATCACTCACTCCTGCCCCCCCTCCAGGCAGGACAGCCACAGTGCAGAGGCAGGGAAAGAGGCCGTGGGGACTGCCGCCCCTCAGCCAGCTGAGCCAATGCCCTGGGGGCTCTCTGCCTGTTGCTTCCCCCAGGCAATCCCTGGTGTGGCCAGCAGGCCCTCTGATGGCACAGCCATCAGCAACACTTCCCGACACATCCGGGAATTGATCGCAGTGCTGCCTTCGCAGACCTGCTGACGAAAAGGCAGACTCACTGCAGGACAGGGTCTGTGGTTCAGGTTGCCCAGGAGCGCGATCTGGAAGCAACCTCAGTGCCCTCAATCCCCCAGCATGGGCAGGCACCTGCAGGGAGGCTTCCACTTCTGCTCCATCCCATGCCCCATGGAGGGTGCCAGGAGGCTGCTCCGCCCTTGGGGTGCCCCTGAGGCGGCCCTGGGGCCTTCTGGGGCCCTTCCACTACCCAGCAATAGACTGTAGTCCTGGGTCCCTCAGGTCCAGACAGGGTCAGAGCATCCCCACACAGGGCTCCTTCCATGTGGGGACAGAGGGGCCAGGGAGTGCCTCGGGCGGGAGCCCGGGCCCACAGCCGTCTCCTCCCTCACTCTCCCACCCCCTGACGCAGTCCTCTGGGGAGCAGCTGCTGTTCTTTGGTGGACACTAGCTCAGCCGTGTGGACGTCAAGGGCAGCATGGCCCGCTCCGCCTTGCCACAGCCAGCTCCTGAGCTTTGAGGCACCATGGCTCTTGCTCTCTGCTTCACGTAGCTAAAGGTGCCCCAGAGCAGCCCATGGCCCCCGTCTGTCCGTCTGGCTGCTGCTCACACCTCTGCCTCCCCCTCTGCACAGGCATGTTTCTGTCTGTGGGGAGGAGAACTTGCCCAGATAAGGGCGTGTTTTGGAGAATGTGCATATCAAGAGGACCCCTGCGTCTCCCTCCCCTGAAGCCCCAGCCCCAGCGTCAGAGCCAGCATGCACACCCCCAGAGGCAGCTGGCTGCAGGGCGGTGTGGCCCTCTCCTGCCTGGGCACCCACCACTCTCCTCAGGTTCTCGCTGAGCTGGTTCACCAGGACATGCAGCCCCGAGAGCTCGTTGATCATGTGGCCCAGCTCCTCGCAGGAGTGCTCGCACACCTCCGGCCTCTTCGCCACTCCCTGGCCCACGAACTCCGTGGTGACGTGAGGGCCCAGGTGCAGCGTCTCCGTGTGCTCGCTGATGGCGTTGATCTCAGCTGCAGAACACACACCAGGGCAGTGAGCGCCTGGCCTCTGGTGCTGTGTGCCGGTGCCCACAGCCAGGCGGGAGTGGCCTGTGCTGGGGAGGTGGGCAGCCTCCCTTACAGCAGGGTGCTCAGCATGTACAGTCCACGAGCAGAGGGCCAAGGCCACACCTGTGATCCCAGCCACAGGGAGGCTGAGGCAGGAGGCTCCCAATGCCAGGTCACCTCGGCAGCCAAGCAAGACCCTGTCTCAAGATGGAAACTAAAATGTGCTGCCAGCGTGGCTCAGTGAGGAGTGCTCCCGGGCTCAGTCCCAGTGCCACCAAGGACAAGTCCTGGCAGAACAGGAGTCCAGTTCAGGAGCAGAAAAATGCCGAAAGTACAGCCAGACCCGAGGCCGGGGCCTGTGAGGGGGTGCGCTGCCCTGGGCCCTCCGCAGACGGGGTCGGGGAGCAGCCGGGAGCTCTGGTCACGCCTTCTCTTTGCCCCACCCGTCCTCTGTTCAGCCACACACTCAGGCACACTGAGGGTCCCTCTGCACCTAACACCCTGTCCCAGGGTCCTGGAACACTGGGCTCCTCTGCCTCTGTCTGTCCTCAGGTCTCTCACGGCCCTGGAAACCACGCAGGCCCCCAGAGCCCTGGCCATGGGCCCACGTGGGCAGGATCCTCAGCTTACACAGTGACCTGGGGCGAGCCCAGAACCAGAACCGTCCCGGAGGGGCCCAGCTCCCTGGCGGGTGACTGTAGGCACGTAAAGGGCCGTCTCCTTTCAGACCTTCCATTTCTGAGCTGCGTGAGTAGGAGGTGCTTCTGCCGCACCCACGTGAGCCTCCTTGCTCAGCTGTGAGCCAGGGCTGCAGTCCACGTCGGGCTGTGAGTGCCTCGGCCCTCGCCTACGGCTTCCTCCAGCCGTGCACAGGTGAGTGCCTGGACAACTAACCAACGGACCAGGGGGACGGTGACACACAGGTGGTGGGCACTGCATGGTCCATGGATGATGGGTGACAGATGATAGATCACAGAGGACTGACAGATGGTAGATGGTAGGTGACAGAGGACAGATGATGGGTGATACATGACCCACGGACAATAGGTGGTGGATGGTATAGATGAGTAGATGACAGGTGATCAATCACAGATGATTGACAGGTGACAGATGACAGATGTTAGATAAGAGATGACAGGTGATAAATGATACTCAGATGATGGATAGATGACAGATGATGGATAGATGACAGGTGACAGGTGACAGATGATGAGTAGATGACAGATGACAGATGACAGGTGATGAATAACTGACAGATAATAGATGACAGATGACAAATAGATGATAGGTGATAGATGATGGATAGATGACAGGTGACAGATGATGGATAGATGACAGGTGACAGATGATAGATGACAGTGACATGATGGAAATGGGACAGGTGACATGATGGGTAGATGACAGGTGACAGATGACAGAGGACAGGTGGCAGGTGATGCAAGACACCCAGGGAGGTGGCCACGCCGTGGGGACCCTGTGGGCACAGGAGCGCTGGCTCACGGGAGGCCCAGCGTGCGTTTCCCTCCTCACGGCTGGCCCGAGGCCGCCTGGTTCCTGCTGCTCATCCTGCCTAGCAGGTCCCCCGCGCGTCAGGGTCTCTGTGGTGGGATCTCGAGGCCGGGCCGGCACAGAGGCCCTCGTCCCCGCAGCTCCACCCATGAGCCGGCTGCCACTGTGGGGCCAGGCTGGAAGGGAGCCCTGGCCTTGGGCAGGGAGTCCAGTGGACCACAGACCAGGCCACCTCATGACGGACCTGGCGGGCTGTGTGGAGTCATCTTTTAAGAAGGGCTGGGAAGGTCCAGCAGGGTGATGTGTGGCTCTGGTAGTGCCAGGGATCACAGGCCTGGACTGCCAGCTGCGCTCGCCTGGTCTGAGCAGTGGGCTCACGTGGGCGGGGGTCCTGATCTGTGGGGGCTGTTCATGGCCGTGGGCCGCCTCGGGAGCTCCAGCCCGAGCTGGGCCACACTGCACTGTGTGCAGGAGCCGCGACGCAGAGCCCCGAGCGCACTCTGTCCTTAGGAAGACAGTGCCGTGTGTGCTAGTCTCTTCGCATCCTCTCCCTGCCCCGGCCGTCAAGTGGCCAGCAGAGTGACCACTGTGGCCTCAGCCAGCATCCTGGACCCACAGGAGGCCCAGGAGCATCCTGAAAGGTGCCTGCTCAGCTCTCGGGACCTGCCAAGGGCTCAGTGCTCGGAACCGCCAGCCGCCCCGGCCCGCTCTGAAGCCGAGTGCGGGCCGCAGAGCCCGGTTTCCACCCAGGCAGCCCAGGAAAGCCAGCCCGCTGCGGAGGCTCACGCGACTCTTGGTGTGGAAACTGAGGCCTGCCTCGGGCCTCCTCTTCTCTGTCAGACAGTGGGCAGCGGCTGGGTGGAGGAGGACCGCCAGGCCAGAGGGGGCCGCGGGCTCCACCCAGCACAGAGGGTCATTCTGAGGATCCTGAGGTGCTGCTCAGCAGACCCTGGCCCAGGACCTCCACCAGTAAAATGCTCAAGAGGCTGCTGGCACAGCAGGGGGAAATGCCACTGGAGATGTGAGTTAGCAGATGAGAACGTCCGTCAACGGCAGAGTAGCCTGCCTCAGAGCCTGAGTGGACAGCCGTGGGGACCGTAGGGAAACTGCGACCTGTCCCATGGCCTGTGAATCCCCTGGGCAGCGGTGGTCACTGACTGGTTTGAAAAGCTGCCTCCCTTCAACACTGGATCAAAGTGTGGGCCATCTAACTTCTAGCTTGTAAAGGGGATTTGTTGGTTTATATCCAAGGTCTTAAAATCATCATATTATAGTAATGCAGCCACGTTGACATTTATAGCAGCTCAACTCACACTACTAAACTATAGAAGCAACCTAGGTGTCCTTCAACAGATGACGGATAAACAAAATGTGATATATATACACACACACACAGACACACACACAGACACACCACGATGGAATATTACTCAGCCTTAAAGGAGAATGAAATTATGGCATTTGCTGGTAAATGGATGGAGCTGGAGAATATCATGCTAAGCAAAACAAGCCAATCCCAAAAAACCAAAGCCAAATGTTTTCTCTGATATGTAGATGCTAATACATAATAAAGGGGTGGCAAGGGGAAAACAGAGGTACTTTCAATTAGGTAGAAAGGAGTGAAGGGAGGGGAGAGAGGGGGGCAGGAAGGATATCAGAATAAATCGGACGTTATTCCCTGCGCATGTGTGACTGCAGGACCTGTGGGATTCTGCATCATGCCCACAGAAGAATGAGAAACTGTACCCCTTATGTACGATGTATCAGAGTACATCCTACGTTATGTACAGCTAGTTAAAACGGCTCTAAAAATAAATAGACTATTCAAAACAATCCTTGATACCTCTCACGTTCAGAGCCAGCTTGTCTCAGGGACCACAGGCCCCAGGCGCTGCTGAAGTGCCCCCTGGTGTGCGCGAGGAAGCGCCAGGCGTGTGCTGTGTACCCACCTCCCCGGGCTCCCGGGCAGCCCTCCCCAGGAGGCGCCAGGCGTGTGCTGTGTACCCACCTCCCCGGGCTCCCGGGCAGCCCTCCCCAGGAGGCGCCAGGCGTGTGCTGTGTACCCACCTCCCTGGGCTCCCGGGCAGCCCTTCCGGCTCAGGAGGTCCTCCACGGAGTTCTCGAACACCAGGTGCATGTTCTGCAGCAGACCCTGTGGAAGTACACCGTGGGGCAGGTGAGCCAAGCCTGAGACCCTGGCTGGAAAGGAGTGAAGGGAGGACACCTCGCCCGCCGTGAGGCCAGCCAGCAGGGCGTCTGCTGCCTAGCAGGTCCTGGGCCTGCTGTGTGGAACGGGTTTCTAGACACAGCACAAGACGTGGGAGTGGAGCCCGGGAACTAGAGCCAGGAGAGGAAAGGCCTGCGGGGAGCAGGAGGGTCTGGGCAGAGCGACCCTCAGCTGGCTCAGGTGGACTCCAGGCGAACTCCTGGCAGAGTCCTCACCAGGGCCCGGGCGTGGCAGTGTCCCCTGCCCAGGCAGGGACCCAGCTCTGGCCTGTGGGAGCCCTCACCCCAGGATGGGAGCCCCCCTGAGGTGCGCCTGGTCAGCCACCAGTGACGGCCAGGGTGTCCTGCGGGCAGGTGGGGTTCATCAGTAGCAAGCCGTGCATCTGCTACTCAAATGGCCAAGTTCTCACCCACACGTGTGTCCAAGAATACGCGCTCACCCCAGAGAGAGCAACGCGCAGGTGTTCCTCCACTTACAGGTCGGTCGGGACCAGACAGACCCAGGGCAGGATGAAGACTTCACCCGTGGAAAGCACTCACACCCACCCACGGCCAGCACCACACACAGCGCAGCGCCCAGTGTCCCCTCCCGATCAGGGACCCTGGGAGCTGCAGCTCAGGGCTGCCCAGCCTCAGGAGAGGCTCCACCCCCACATTGCCCGAGGAGACCAGAACTGCCCGTCTGACGTGCCCTCCACTGCCTGGGCACGCATTGCGGGTGCGCCTACGTGGGACCCTCTGTGCGGACATCCTGCTGCGGGCTCCGAGGCTCGTGACTTAGCCAGCCCTGTCTGAGCCCACAGCTGCGGGGGCAGGGCCTGTCCTCTCGGGGAGCAGCAGTCCCCTTGGGAGGACAGCAGGTGGAGAGTTCTCACACCCTCTCACGGCTAAGGTGCATGTGGGCTTTGGCTTCAGGCTCGAGCAACGAAGGTGGGGTTGCCAGGAGCAAGGGTGGCCAGTTCCCAGGTCTCCAAGCAGCCTGTCTCGACCGCTGACCACTGGCGAGAAGCCCCTGTGGCCACAGGCTCTGCTCTGTGGCTCAGGAAGGTGTGGGCTGTGTCTGGAGTGCACCATGTGAGTTTGTTCACGGTGCTCATGTCCACGTTAGGTGGTGCATGTGCACGTTGAGCACGTGTTTGGGGCATGTGTGTGCACACATGTGTAGCTCACACATGGCAATTGTGAGTGCAAGTGTGAGTGTGGTACACATTCATGATAGTACATGTGTGTGAATCTGTTTCTGTGTGTACGTGTGTGTATGTGTGTGTGCATGTGTGTATGAGCATGTGAATCTGTGTTTCTGTGTGCATTCCTGTGTGTACATGTGTGTGTTCATGTGTGTATATGTCATGTGTGTACATGTGTGCATGCATGTAGGTGTGTACATGTGTATATGTGCATGTGTGCTTGCACGTGTGTGCTATTCACGTGTGTGGCTTTGCACATGCACACGTGTGTACTGTGTACGTGTGTGTTCACTTGTGTGTGTACATGTGTGTACATGTATGTGCATGTGTGTCTGTGTGTGTGCATGTGCACATGTGTGTGTGCGTGTGTGTGCACACAGGTATGACTCGCTGGCCACTCCCAGGGTTGTAGAAATGCATCCTCCCACACTGTGCTGAGGACCCAGACCTGTCAGCCATGGGAGCCGGCGTGTTCTGGAGAGACTGCCCTGCTTGACGGGGCAGGTGTGTGAGGAAGGGCCCATTTCTGGGTCCCAGTGGACGCAGCCCTACATACGCACCCTGAAGTGGCTCTCGCGGGTGGCGCCTTTGGCCACGTACATCCGGCTTCTCTCGGCGCTCAGCTGCTCGTAGAAGGGCTCATCGAGGCTGAAGCTGTCGATGAGGTCGCAGCCCACGTACAGGCTGTAGGTCTCGCCGGCCACCTGCACGGTGATGTTCTTCCACTGCGAGTCGGCCAGGCCCACGTCCTCCAGGGAGACAGGGTGCGGGGTGCCCTCGGTCCAGTAGGTGAGGTCCAGGGTGTCCGCCGGGCCATTGGAGACGATCTCGAATTGCCGCTGCGAGGCGCCAGGGCCCTCCAGGGCCAGCAGCGTGCCGCGGGACTTGCGGTCCTGCTTCAGCTGGGCCGTGAGGAAGAAGCCCTCCTTGCGCCGCATGGTCCTGAGGATCCTGCTCAGGTCCTCGCTGTTCACCGGGGGGATGTAATCAAAGCGGACGAACCGGTAGGCGGGCACCCCGGGGTCAGGCCCGCGGAACTGCTTGGCACCGATCGTCTTCCGGTTGATGTTGCTGACGCTGAAGAGGTCGAAGGAGGTGTCCTCCTCGTCTGGGTCACCAGCTGCCACGGGAGGCAGAGCACGGGGTCACCAACACCAGGTGGGCACCCCGGGTTGGGATGGCAAAGCAGGGCGGCGAGGCCAGCTCACTGGGGGTCTGCTGCGCCCCCTTGGCACGAGAGCTCGGGGCTCCTCCGAGGAAGGCCACCACCCAGGCTGCGGTCCCCAGTGCCCCGACAGCTGTGGGTTAGCTTTGTCCTTGGCTGGAACAGCGTGGTGCTGCGGGTGGGCCTTGGCCACCAGGGCCATCCCATTCGGCAGCACACCCACAGCGGGGCTCCCTCAACTCTGGCAGGCGACCCCACCTTGTCCAGGCAGGGCTGGGAGCCTCCCCCTCCTGTCGACCTCCCCAGGTGGGAGGCACAGGGAGGCCTCCTCCAAGCCCCAGTGCCGGGGGGACCCCAGTGCAAAGCCAGGCTTGGGGACGGAGCAAAGGGGACACAGGCATGCGGTGTCCCGGGTGGGACCCTCCTCCTTGGACTCGCTGGCCACTCCCAGGGTTGTAAACTGCATCCTCCCACACTGTGCTGAGGACCCAGACCTGTCGGGCCTCTGGCTGTGGTGAGTGGTTCCAAGTCACCGTCCAAGTACGACAAAGGAAACTCAGCACAGTCCCCAAAGGACAGCAGTGTGAATAACTCAGAATCATGCACCGAATAAAATGCTTTAAAAGCTTTAAATAGTATGACCCTCTATCTTGGCACATTGAAGCACTATAACACGTGCTGGATATGACCACGGTCAGTATGGCTCTTGGTAGGAATTAAGTCGATTAAAACCTTTGAATATTGCAATTAAAAGAGCAATTTATTTTTGTAACTTATGCAAAGGATATGATCACAAATGCTAGTGAAAATTCATTCACAACGAATAAAATAACATCTAAAGGGGAATTGATCTCAAAGCATTAGGGCTTCTCTGATGGAATACTATGCAATCATTAACAATCACGTTGTGAAAAAAGAAACACGTGGTAAAATAGTTAAGATAACATCCTAGGCAGAAAGGAAGTGGGAAGAAGACACAAAACACCAGCCCTCTGCACTGCTGAGCAGACGGCGTGTGCAAAACCAGCAGAGCTGAGCACTGCCAAACCCCGCAGCCCCGCTGGGTGGCATTTTATCTAATACCCAAGTTTTCCAAAAATAAACCCTTCCGTGTTGTAGGGACTCAAAGGCAAGTAAAGCTTTCATTTGCAAAGCCAAACGCAGCCACTTCGGGATCTGCGCCGTGGCGGGGCCACGCCTCGCGAGCCACGCGGTTGGGTCCACTCACCGAGCGCGCTGGGCCACGCCCACAGGGCCAGCAGGGCCATCCCCCAGAGCATCCTGCGTCCTGCTGCAGCTCCTAGGAGAAAAGCAGCCCTGGTCAGAGAGGGGCACAGCGGCGCGTGTCGCCGGAGGGTGTGCTCCTGTACCTTGGCCACAGCTGCACGTAGACTCAGAGGGGGTCCCCGCAGCCCGCGGAGGGTCCACACAGCCCACCGAGGCACAGGACGCTGTTCCGGTAGACTCCTCCCCCTGGGCGGACGTTAGTGGGCGGGCATGCTGGACCAGCACCCTGGTGGCGTTCTGAATATTCCCGTTATCTGACCCCCGGGGGCAAAATGGCCATAACTGCCCTGCCCTGCAGAGGGGAAGTGGACAGTGTCTGGTTGCTGGTGCTGAGTGGTTCTGCTGGGGAGAACTGTCACCAAGACTCAGATTCTGACGGTGGAAGTCACCAAACACCCAGCCTGGTGCACAGTCTGTGCAGGCCTTGTCCCACCTCAGCTCACTGGCCCTGGGCGCAGCCTTCCCAGGGAACACGGTTCCTGACGGGAGGGTCCTGGGAGCAGGTCTCGGCTACTTTCCTACTTTCCTGCAGCCTGTTTTTCCATTCTTGAGGGTTCTAAGTTGGCAGGGTGCAGCGGGGCTGGATCACAAGTCAGGAGACCTGGACGGAAGCCCAGCTCCACAGTTAACTCCTCGCGGGCCTCCGTGAGCCCTCAGTCTGGGCTCCTCATCCCAGAGGTGGGTGATGTGGGCACTGGACCCAGGTCCTTCCTACAGCCCCCAGCCTGCTCCAGGTGGACGCTGACCCCTCCTTATTCAGAACACCAAACTCCCTCCTCCTAGACCAAGGAGTCTCCCTCTCCAAGACATCTGGTGAGCCGGACCCAGCCACCTTCCTGGGGGGAGAGAGGTGGCCCCAGGCAGGGGCTGCGTGCAGGGACCCCTTCCCACAGCGCTGTGCAGGGCAGTTGCTGTGGTTTCTGCCATCTCATCACAGGGGACCCTGGGCCAGAGCTCTGCCCCTCAGCTCCGCTCCTCTGGCGCTGGCTGCACCGCCTGCCTTCATTGCCAGCATCTGACTGGCTGGGCTGCTCGGAGAAGTCCCTCCAGCAGATGACCATGTGTCCAGCACCTCTTAGCCGGCCCAGAAAGCCCAGTGAAGGACCAGCTCACTGTGCACCTGGACTCTTTCCCACTGTCGCCTCCGAGGTGGTGGTAGGAACAATGAGATGCCCCCATCTGGGCCTTTCACAGTTTTTAGGGACTGTTACCGGGGTAAACCCTTGCTGTGTACTCAGAACAGTACCCAGTTCACGAAGCCATCCAGAGACGCTAAGGGATCAGCAGTGCTAAGTGCCACGTCAGAAGGCTCTTTCCTGTCGCCCACCCTCGACAGGCAGGAGCCACCGACCCTGTCCCTCCCTGTGAAGCCTGTTCTGCAGGAGGACAGGCTGCGTGAAGGAGAGCTCCATCCCAGCGACTGCACAGCACCCTGCCTCACGGCAGGCTCAGAAAGTGAGCCCGACGCTCAAAGCCAGCCTCAGCAACAGCGAGGCGCCGGCCACTCCTGAGGCCCTGCCTCTGGTAAAATACGGCGGGACAGGTCTGGGGACATGGCTCCAGGGTCAGATGCCCCAGAATTCAAGCTCTGGCACCAAAAAGGAAAAAGAAAGTGAACTCAACTTTGTTTTGACAAGATCAACTCGTTCCTAAAACAGCAGGCAGGGCTCAGCGCCAGCAGCCTGCCGCTCCCTGCAGGACAGACCCTCTTCCCATGGGTGCCTGCCGTGGTGTCCTCCACCCCCCAGGTGCCCGTGCCAAACGCTCCTGCTTATGTCTTCCAGCCACAGAGTGCAGGTGAATGTTGGAGACCTTGGAGCGTCTGTGAGCACCCTCTTCATACAAAGTGAGAAGGAGCTTTGCAGAGATGCTCCTGGGATCCCTCGGGAGTGGTCACACATGAAGCGCAGGGTCAGCTCAGCCCCGTCTGTGGGCGGCTGTCACTCCTGGCAGCAGCTGCACCCGGCCAACTCTGTCCATGAGCAGCCCGTGCCCGAGCCCCTCAAAGCCACAGCACCCTCCCTGCAGCCCCGTCCCCTGGAGCACCAGCACCGCTCAGCCGGCAGCGCTAGCCCAGGGTGTCTGGGACCGTGGTCCCTGCTCGCGCTCCAGGCCCTGCCTGCCATTCCTCTCTCGCGCTCCCTCCTCCTCAGCAAGAGTCGGAGCAGAAACTTCCTCCTGGGAAGAGGAAAGAGGAGCACTTGCAGCTCCTGGGGCAAGACCCACGTGCAAACCGCAGAGCCGCGGGCACAGAGCAGGGCCAGGCAGCCACCACCCCAGACTCCAGCCTCCGCTGTCCCGTCCTCTACCCTGCGGGAGTCGAGAGCCTTTCTGCCTGTCACAGTCCAATGCGGTGACTTAAAACTCAAAATAAGGTGCGTTACCTGGTGTGCTGTCCTGCCGGGGTGCTGACTGACCTCAGGGTTTCCGAGCAGGACCAGAAGGACGCGGCTTCCTCAGTGGAGACCCCGGGCCGCAGAGCACCGTGGTGGACGCTTCCCACTGCTCTGGGCAGCAGGCGCCTCCTTTATATGCTGCCTTTTCCGAGTAGCCCTGTCAATCAGACACGCGAGGAAGCACGTTTAATTCATTCCTTCGAAGGAATGACACAGTTCCTCCTTCTGATCTCGCCATTTGCTCCCAGTACCTGCTGTCTGAGTCCAAGTCCAGCCCCTCTGTGCGGCTGCCACCCTCCTCTTGTGTCCACCAAGGCCTCCAGACAGGGGACGGACGGGGAGGAGCCAGACGGAGAGGAGAGGGCAGGGACTCACTTTTCCTGTCTTCTCTCAGGAAATAAAATGCTATAAATAAAACTAGCAAGATTGGCTGGAACTCCCCATTTTGCTTAAGAGGAAAAAATGCAAGTTCTATGCTTTAAATATGTTTCAAATTACCCGATGGGATACCGTTCTTTCCACACCAAGCAAGAGTCAGCAACACATAAAAGAAACTGGTGGGTGTAAATAGCTGGCCGCTGCGTTGCTGAAGTTATCATAGTGAAAGAATTATTTTTGCCATGTGCAAAAAAAGTTGACTTTAAAATAGAGTCGACAAATGTGATTTCAAGCCACTGGAGCACTGAGGAGTCGTGCTGCCCCACAGGAGAACCGATTGTAATCCAAACCTGCGTCACCTACTCCATTTGATCTCATGCAACAGTGTCTGGCCCTCGGGGCAGAACTTCCAGTGGCCAAAGAACCCCCAAGCAGAGGCAAAATCTCAGTGGGAGGGAGGGTCACTCAGGGTTGCGCTGGAGAGGGAAGTGAGCCCAGAGGCAGCTGCTAGGCTCCTGCCCACAGCTCAGATCACCCAGGCCAAGTGGACAGACTGTGGACACAGGGGGACATGGGCATCACCCACGGTGGGCATCGAGCAGGGACATTGCCAGGTGTGGACAGGACATGAGAGGATGTGGGCATCACCCAGGGTGGATGGTGGACAGAGGAAGGGAACATCACCCAGAGCCCAGCACCTGGCTCCTTTTGTGCAGTCTACACCTTGGTGCCTGGACATGGGCTCTGTGGGAACAAACTGGGGACAAGTCAAGTCTTTCTTAAAGCACACTCAAGCAAAGGTGCCTGGAGAGAGCGCCAACACCCTCCTGTTCTTGACATGCTGGAGCGCCCGGCTGTCTCTGACCCTGGGGAGCCTTGGACCACCGGAGGATGTCCTGCCCCCGCGCCTGCAGCCTGTCTCCCTGTGGCAATTCTCTCCTGAGAACCAACCCCAACTCCTGGCACAGAGAGGAGGGACCAGGCTGAACTGCACTGGGAGACCTCCAGGGTGGGACATTGGTGTTAGGCCTCTGGTGAGGGCAAAGTCCACTTTTTGAATTAAAGTGTCTGAATTCAAATTTGCATAAATAAACTGATGTCATCCCAGATTCCTGAGAGAAACTGGGCCTGCTTCCCCAGTGCAGCTGCGTCTGGGGCTGAGGGTGCTTCCCGCCCCTGCTCTCCAGCACCCCCAGAGGAGCCTGGAGTCAGGGGGTCCTGCCGCGGCTCAGCCACGCGGAACTGGAGGAGGAGGCCGCAGGCTGCCCTCCGGCTCCCGGCACACCTGGGGCAGGCATCGCAGGGCTGCTGCCTGGGGCTGTGAGAGGAGCTCAGGGCGGGCACACTGAGGGCTGGGCGAGTCCTGCCACTGCCCTGGTGCAAGGAAGCCATGGGCTGGTGACGCTCACTTCCTGGCCCCACTGTGGCATGGGGTGGGGGAGCCACTCCCTTGGGCCCTCCAGGGGGGACACAGGGCCATCCGGGTGAGACCACAGGGCAGGTGCAGGGAGGCGGAGCCCTGGGACTCTCCAAGTCTCTGCAGGTTGGGCAGAATGCAGCTCCCGGTGCCTCCCCATGCACCCTGGGACGGAGAAGCAGGCAGGGGGCCTGGCTCAGAGGCCGAGCATCACTGTGGGTCCTCAGCAAAGCCAGAGGCCGCACAGCAGAGGTCCACCTCCACCTTCCAGGGCCGTGCCTGAGCACAGGCTCCTGCCTCCGGAGCTGGGCACAGCTAGGTGGCTTCAGCGGCTCCTTTTGTGGTTCTCCGTGGTCTCAGCCCGGGGAACCCGAGACAGACGCGTGGCCTGAAGTTCCACGCTGCAGTTACAGGGGCAGCCAGGCCACCCTGCCGCGCAGGAGGGAAAGTCCCACAGCAGAGGACACAGCCGACCTGGGGGGCCCAAGGCAGCCCCTGGGCGGAGCGGGGTGATGGAGACTTGGCCACAGAGGGGCAGCTGCAGGCTGGCTGGAGGCCCGGCCTGAAGAGTGGCTCCTGCCAGGACCCAGGCTGACGCCAACGAGGAGGGAGAGATATCGCCTCTGGCCATGGAGCAGGAGATCTTGGCAGGCCTGCAGGACGGGCCTGGTCCAATAACCCAGATCACAGCCGTCCAGAGCCGAGGTCAGCGGGCTCTCTGCAGGCACTGGCCTGCACCAGCTCAGCAACTCCAGCCTGAGGGCCCTGAGTGCAAGACTGAGGCGCCATCTGAATACAGCACACCCCGCCTGGCAGGCTGGTGGGACACGAGGAGGAAGCTCCCAGGGGCGAGGAGTGGGACAGGCTCAAGGCAGGGCAGCAGGGCAGGTCCTGGGCCGCTGACCTGTGAGTGGGAAAGCATGACCAGAGGAAGAGGAGCCGTCCCCAGTGAGGCCGTAGCTGTCGGTCCTCCGCGGGGAGGGCGTGTGCCCTAAGTGAAGAGGGCCTGGGTCTCAGAGCAGAGGAGCCGCCCACGAATCAGGCACGTCCTGGTCCCCAGCCCGCTCAGCTCTGGGGACTGCAGTGAACGTCCACGTGGGGCAGTCCAGCGCATGAAGACCTCGCAGTCCCATGGTCTAGCAGGCCAGCCTCACCAGGAGCGCGTACTTCCCCCGAGCTGCAGACTCGCGGCCTCCACCAAAGCATGAGCAGGAGCCAGGACAGAGCTGCTCTGGCTGAGGAGAAGGGCCTGCAGCGTCCAGATGCAGGACAGAGGCCCAGGTTCAAGAAGTGTGGACCTGGCAGCAGGCCGAGGCAGGCGGCTGGCTAGCTCACACCTACAGGGGCTGCTCTAAGTCTAGGCAGGGGTGAGAAGGAGCACTGGGTGACAGGGGGCCTGGCAGGTGCAGGGGACAGACAGCAGGGAGGCTGAGGCGGGGGCTGGCTGTCCCAGCAGAAGGCGGAGGAGTGGCCTCCTGGGCCAGAGCTTGAGTGTGAAGTGCACAGTACAGAGGTGCTTCTGTTTGGTGCTGTCCCCTGCTGGACCGGACACAGGGTGACGCCTGAGGTTCCCTCATGAGAGAAGTGTTGTAACAGGGAGAGCCAGGATGCACACCGGCCCGACCTGAGTGCCCTGAGTGCAAGACTTAGGCACCATCTGAATACAGACATCCCCAAGGCCAGTGTAGGGTACAGAAGAGGATGGACCTGGAGGAGAGAGGAGGCTCACACATTGACCAGACCCACCCTCTGGTCAGGACCTGTGGTCAGCCTGGGCCCACGTCAACACCTAGCCGGTGGTTTCCCAGCTGCTGGCCTTAGACTTTGAAGTCTGGAGCCTGGACATGAGGGCTCTTGTCAAGGGGAGGACAAACAGAGGCCCAGGAGCTCACAAGGCATGGTAAAGGGAAAGCCCCCCCAAAGGTTCAGCTGCAGGCCCTCCTGAGGCACGGGTCAGCAGGGGACTTGGCAGCACCATGGAATGTTCCGTGAGGCCATAGGTGGCCACTTTAATTCTGGACACAGGATTGCAGAGAAAGTGATCACTACGGCAAGAAGAGAAGGGACAGGATCAAGAAGGAGGGGGCACAGTGGATGTCCAAGCCTGGGCCTGAGACACCAGGAAGAACAGGAAGGCCTCAGACACTGCAGGAGGCTGTGGGAGAAGGTAGAGGGAGCAGAGGCCAAAAGAGGGGC